GGGAATGATTTGCGTGGATGGGGAAAGATTCTAAAATATCAAAATACTCCTCAGGAAGTTCAGGTCCAGCGTTATGTAGAAGTTTGCCCTCTATGTGAACAAGGTGTCTTCAATGTTTGTTTTGCTCGGTTGTTCGAGCCAGCTATGGTTCTTAAGACATACTTCCTACTGAGGGTTAGGATTCTGTCCTTGATAGGCGTGATGTTAGCTATTGCATATATGTGGGTCGAGCTGTGAATAGGTGAATTCCATTTGAATTTTCCATATATGTGGTGATCCCAAATGACAAAGACGACATGGAATACATGCTTAGAAAACTAATTGAAGAATACCAGAAATGGGGATTAAATATCAATTTAGAAAAGACAAAATACCTCTCAATTGGAGTTGAAGCAGAACAACTCGATATCGATGACAATCAAAAAATAAATCCATGTAAAAAGACGAACGAGAAATAGAACATCGAATTGTACAAGCACGAAGAGCTATAGCATGTTTGAAAGGAGTTCTATGGAGTAAAGAAATATCAAAGAAAAGAAAATGGAACATCTATGAGACAATGGTTAAAACTAGCCTACTTTATGGAGCTGAGACATGGAGAATAACCGAGAAATATAAGAAAAAAGTCGAAGCCACGGAAATGGACGCCATCAGAAGATCGATGAGAATATCAAGAGCCGACAGAATAGGGAATGAAGTGATAAAACAACAAATGGGTATAGAGGGCACTATAGTTGAGGATATTTAGAGAAAACAGCTCATATGGTTTGGGCATGTGAGCCGAATGGGGGACGAAAGATTGCCTAAAAAAACGATGATGTGGCAACCCCCAGAGAAGAGGAAACGAGAAAGACCACCACAGAGCTGGAACCTGGGAGTTAGGAAAGCGATTAGCGCTCGAAATCTGGACGAAGACCTAACTCAAGACAGAATACAGTGGCGTTTGACGACCAAATGTCGTACATATTCTTGTACCGCGTGTAGCCTGACTTTAAGGGGTTGCCTAAAAAATGTATTATATTCTTGCAAAATTTTGGAATACGTTTAATTCGTAGAACAATTTTAACATTTGTTTTCGATACATATTTCAGTCCTCTACCAATAGTTTAACTTGACGTTTGGTGTAAAATAATTAGGGAATCTTTATTGTAAAAAATATTACCACCTGTTTTGTTACCTTCATAAAATCTGACTTTTTACATTAATAGGGCCATTTTAATCAGACGCTCCTGCTTCTACATTAGAAAACATTATAGTAACACAATAAATAAACTCAACGAATTGGGCGATAAAACCATTAAAACCCTATTTTCGAAACAATTCTGAATGACTTAGTAACTTATTCCAGCATCGTGGGTAGTTTAACTACTAAATAGAGAATATAAATAGTTGTTTAAAGTTTAGTTCGTTACTGCAAGCTTATAGATAATAACCGTAGGTAGAGGGCATGAATTCCAACTCAACTGAATATTATAGTAAAGTGAAATGGTAGTGTAATTTAGTGTAAGTCGTGAAATTAGATAAAATAATAAGAAAAGTATATGTTTTGACTGTTCTAACTTACTGACAACATAGTCAGTAAGAGTTTTTAATCGATTGAAGGTCATTTCTAGACATGTTTTGGATTCCGCGATTCCTTATGCACCTGAGAGGCTCTATTCGCTGTCCAAGTGCTTATGCAAAGATGCAGGGATGTTAACTGTGATGTGTATACTTGTTTTATTGACTACAAAAGGCATTTGATAGAGTAAAGCATAATAAACTTATAAACATCTTGAAAGAAGTGCGGTTAGATGATAGGGACTTGAGATTCATCTATAATTTATATTAGAACTAAACAGCCAATATTAAAGTAGATGACCAATGGACAGAGGCAGTCTCCATAGATAGAGGAGTAAGGCAAGGATGCATTCTGTCTCCGGTGTTATTTAATATATACTCTGAATATATCTTCGAGCAAGCGATGGGAGAACTACAAGAAGGCGTATTAGTCAACGGAATGCGTCTAAACAACATTAGATATGCCGACGACGCAGTAGTTTTTGCAGATAGTATGGACGGTTTGCAAAGAATAATGTCGCGTATATCAGATATAAGTAGAGAACACGGACTTGATCTTAATACGAAGAAAACAAAGTAAGTAAGTAGTCAGTAAGCGCGAAATATTAAATACACAGCTTTTGGTTAACCAACATCCAATTGACAGAGTGGACAGCTACACATACCTTGGTACCAACATTAACAGAAAATGGGATCACTCCAGTGAAATAAAACAACGCATAGGAAAAGCGAGATCAGCGTTCATAATGATGAAGTCTCTTTTCAGAAGTCACGATTTACCACTTGCTACCAAAATCTCTCTCATTAGATGCTATGTATTTTCTACGTTATTATACAGAGTAGAGGCCTGGACACTTTCCGAAGCTTCGTTAAGAAAACTCGAGGCATTCGAGATGTGGTGTTACAGACGTATTTTAAGAATTTCATGGGTGAATCGTGTGACTAATGTTGAGGTCCTACGTAGAATAGGCAAGGAATGCGGGATTATTAACACCATCAAAGAGCGCAAACTAGAATATCTTGGCCATGTTATGAGGAATGAACAGAGATACGGCTAGTTGCAACTCATTCTTCAGGGCAAGGTATTTGGAAAGAGAGGACCAGGGAGAAGAAGAATATCTTGGCTTCAAAACCTGAGAAAGTGGTTTAATACATCGACAACCGGACTATTCAGAACAGCAGCAAGCAAAGTTAGGATAGCCATGTTGATCGCCAACATCCGAAATGGATAGGCACCGTAAGAAGAAGAAGAAATAGAGCAGACAGGATTCCGTTCATATTATGGTACCAATGAGGATATAGTAAAGACAGTCATTGAAAAATCTATAGAATACAACAAACCTCTTGTCCTCACTTTCATAGATTTTCATAAAGCGTTGGACACGATCGAAATAGACAGACTTATAGAAGCAATGATTGATAGCAGGGTTGACCATAGGAATAGTGAATTGAATTACAATATTTACAAAAATGCTTAAGGGAGGCCCTAAGCATGATGATGATGATGATGTTTAGAAAATTACTTAAGTTGCCTTCAAAATAAATATGTGCACATATTGAAGATGGAAAAGATGACAAAAGATTATGGCTACAAGTAACTGTGAGTAACTGTACAAGAAGATTTCTTAACGTATCTCTAAGATCTTAAAACAAATGCGTAAACGTATTGCAACAGCAGAAGGTGTGGGTTTAACCACCATAAAAGCAATTCCGAGGGAAATGAAGTTCATCGAAAAAGGTACTGTATCATCATTTAGTACTCCAAATAAAAAATAAATAGGTCAGCTTTAAAATCTAAGTGGGATGAGTGCGACAAAGGGATGCCATGTCGATTAATTTTTGTACTAACGAAAAAAAAAAGTTTCCAACTCTGCGACGAATACACAAAAAAAAGCCATGAGGAATATAAGGTTTCGTTGGAGAAAAATAAAAAATAATGAAAAAATTTAATGAAAAAACCTGAAATCCAACAATTGAGAAGAAACTTTCTTCAAGATATTAAAAAATACAGAGAAGAGAACCGACTTATGATATTCATGGAAGAAACCTACATTCATTCTTCCCATACTCACTCTAAAAGTTGTGGAGATGACTCCAATAAGGGATTACGTGCTTCAATTTCAAAAGGTCAGAAACTGATAATACTGAATGCACATGGAAAAACAGTGTTGTACAGAATGCTTCTTTGAAATTCAAATCAACTATCACAGTGAAATGAGTTATGAAAATTATAACAAAATAATCGGGAAATACTTATTCCCAATAATTCTCCACCACAACGTGCATGCTGATGTCCTAATATGAGATCAATGGAAAATTAAATGATAAAACTAAAACAAAGCATTCTTTTCAGAACATATGTTAAAAGCCGATCTTTACAACATTGCACAAAGCTCCAGAAAGACCCAGATTTAAGGTGTGTAAAATTGAAAAATACTGGGTAATCGTGGTCATTCTGTCTTAAAGCTGCCTTCTCATCATCCAGATCTCACTCCCATAGAATTCGTGTGAACTCTTACGAAATACATGCCCGAGAAAAAAATTGACCTTAAGTTTAGCTCTGTGGATCGTTTTTGTAATGAACTTTTTTAAACATTTTCAAATGAAGATTGAAACAACGAAAAAAATTTGAATACGCTAAACATTTCGAACAGTTTTTATGGGAAAAGAACACGTTTAAGATTTAGTTTTTAGATTCAAGTAATAAATAATTTTCAGGAAGATAGTAGTAGTGATTTCAGTGATAATAATCTCGAGTGGGACTGCCAAGACTTTTATAAGTTGTTCCTAGATTTGACGAGTAATACTGATGATTAATGATGGGATCTTGCAACAGTTACCAGAAAAATTAAAAAAACTTTTGTAATAAGCGCTTGCATTAGAAGGGATTAAATTCCGTCCTCAAGTGACCCATATAATATTGTAAAACCTGGTAATATATTGAAACTTGGAAAAAGCTATCAGAAGTTAACGTTTGTAGTCTACTTTTTCTGGTATCAAACCGATTCAAAACATTAGTGGTAGGCAGATTACAACCAATCGTCTAAGAAAAACAAGTGACATCTAACCAGCAATTTGGCATTCAATAGGAATTTGGAATTCCGAACTTGACACGTAAACTGGACAAAACGAGCCATTACCCCATGTTCCCTCAAAGTACCAATGTTCCCTTACCAAAAGTTAGCAAATATAGCCTTCGTTTAAACTAGCAAATAAAACATCAAAAATTAAACACGTCTGGAGCTTGTGCCATTATTCGCTGACAGATAAAAATATCACTACTGTGACGTAACATGTTGCCAACTGCTAAAAACGTAAAATTGTGTAAATTGGGGTGTGTGTAAATTGGGGTGTGTTATTATTATTAATTCATACAATACTTTATGAAAACAGTCCTTATCTTTATGAAAACTTACAGAATATTAAAAATTCCAGCTTACCTCTATTGATGGTGCGACAGTATGCCTACCAGCCAGTTGTGGATGGTGGTGGTGGGCATGGTTGGGCCTCGGAACGACATCGTGAGGATCTTCGTAGATACCCGCAGCCACATTTACATCACAGTTGTTTCGTGGGGAATTTTTACAGGGGAGGAAATTTTGTACTTTTCTTTTATGTCTGCAAATAAAAAAGTCTTTTAAATACTGCTACTATATCAAAGAAAACGTGTTATTTGTTAACTGTTTTACGATCGAGCTAATAATATTAAAAAAAAAAAAACAAATTTTGACGTGTACGGGTCTAAATTTCTATTCCTATCCATCAACATAGTTTCTAAATAAGAGCGTCATCCATACGTTATCGCTAGCTAGCTATATAATATAAATAAATAGATTATCACTTAAATAATTGTTAACCAAATTATACTAAGTCAAGTAAAATAGAACAGCAACAACGCATTACATAAACAAATATTAATGATATTTAAAACATTTATCCAGAGTCTATCTATCTATCTATCTAATTAGCTTTCTTCGGTCCATCTTTGGACATAGGCCTCCCCAATCCTTTTCCATTCTTCTCCGTCTGTCGCTATAGTCATCCACACAGAGCCCACGTGCTTCTTGATATCATCTGGCTATCTCATTTCTCTCTCATCTCATTATCCAGAGTCTAGTAAGTGTAAACTTAACCTTGCTAGCTTGCATAAATATCGTGAAGTAGTAACCTTTTATTATAACGATGTCTAATAATTTTTTTTTCAAGGTTCAAGAATTCAAAAAAGTGGCCTCTGATGGCGGACATATCCGGAAATGCGAATGCGCCAAATTTAAATTTTCTGACACTTATCAACAGTAGTTATATAATATTTTTCAGAATGTGTCTTAGAGGGGAAAGTTTTAATTAATTATTAATGATAAGAGTCTAAAATGCGACACAATTGTTAAAAAACTTCAGTATAAATAAGATTTCATGTGACATTTGGGACAAACAATAACATAACCCAACTAAATTTGATGTCAAACAAGGAGAGAGACTCTCTTTCCTTGTTTAATGTGGCCTCTAAAGATCGCACTTCCTGTCTAACAATATGTTTGCCCCCACTACCTTTACATTCCCTCTTTTGTCTTTTTGCTCGATGGTTTGTAGCAAGTAATTATGCAACTTATATTACAGGGAAAGGTCTACAGAAAGAAATACACGATCGCCCTTTTTAAAAATAGAACCAATCTTGGAGTATTTAAATGAAGTTGGGAATATCCCGATTGAAGAAATACTAGATGTGTTAAAGGTTTATTAAATATTTTACTAGTGCTTTTGATAAAAGATGCGTTTAGCTCATTAGTATCCAAACAATTTGAATTTTTTAATATTTGTATAACTGCAAATACTTGTTGTAGATTGGTTGAAGACAGAAAAAATGAATTTGATAGAGCTGGAAATTTTTGGTAGTTCAAAATTGTGTCGTCTGGTATATTGGAAGGGATTTTATAATATTCTCAGCAATTTCAACAAAAAAGTTATTGAAAGAGTCAAGATGTGTTCGTTGTTGAGTTATCTGAACGATCTGTTTTATTTCGCTCATAGTTAATTACCTTCCAACACGTCTTGGCGCTACTCTTTGAAGTTAATATTAATTACAACAATCGTAAAATAGTTTCGAAACACAATTAAAATTTCTGCTTTATAATCTGAGCCTTCTAAAAATTGCAAGGCAAACAGACCTTGATCAGAAGGCTCAGATTATAAAGCAGAAATCTGAATTGTGTTTCGAAACTATTTTACGATTGTTGTAATTAGATGTCGCTACTGCGTCCGTATTGAAGCCATGTTATTGTTGCTTCTTAAAAGGCAGAAAATATTGATTTTTCACGTTGAGGACTCCTATGAATAGCTCTTCTGACGAGACCTATTAGGTCGAAATACGTATCAAGAGATACATAGGATTTGTTTGCGTGAAATCAAATATTTGCTGCCTTTCTTCATTTTATTCGGATTTACTCTGTGTGAGTACTAGAAGCACAATTCGCTAAGGATTTCTGCTTAGTTGTAAAAGACATGTCGTGGAATGCAAATTTTAGATTCCTCATGTCTCTTTTAACATCTTTTATCAACGTCTGTTTGCCTTGCAATTTTTAGAAGGCTCAGATTATAAAGCAGAAATCTGAATTGTGTTTCGAAACTATTTTACGATTGTTGTAATTAGATGTCGCTACTGCGTCCGTATTGAAGCCATGTTATTGTTGCTTCTTAAAAGGCAGAAAATATTGATTTTTCACGTTGAGGACTCCTATGAATAGCTCTTCTGACGAGACCTATTAGGTCGAAATACGTATCAAGAGATACATAGGATTTGTTTGCGTGAAATCAAATATTTGCTGCCTTTCTTCATTTTATTCGGATTTACTCTGTGTGAGTACTAGAAGCACAATTCGCTAAGGATTTCTGCTTAGTTGTAAAAGACATGTCGTGGAATGCAAATTTTAGATTCCTCATGTCTCTTTTAACATCTTTTATCAACGTCTGTTTGCCTTGCAATTTTTAGAAGGCTCAGATTATAAAGCAGAAATCTGAATTGTGTTTCGAAACTATTTTACGATTGTTGTAATTAGATGTCGCTACTGCGTCCGTATTGAAGCCATGTTATTGTTGCTTCTTAAAAGGCAGAAAATATTGATTTTTCACGTTGAGGACTCCTATGAATAGCTCTTCTGACGAGACCTATTAGGTCGAAATACGTATCAAGAGATACATAGGATTTGTTTGCGTGAAATCAAATATTTGCTGCCTTTCTTCATTTAATATTAATGGATCATATGCCAGCTTTTTCATTATTTTCAATTATAAATGTCGAGCAGACAAGCGAACAGAGTCATTTCGTGCCAATCATTGTGATCAACGTGATCTTAAATTGGAATATATTTTAAATTTTATTTAATATTGTTTAAATAATAACTGTAGGAAATAAAATAAACACTTTTTTGATATCTTCTAAGGAAACATTAAATAAAACCAAAAGCTCATATGACTAACGATCCATTTTACTTAAATCTCTTAAATCCATAATTGGTGAAGACAAACAATGTGACAACTTTGTACCATTTCCAACAAACTCAGTAAATCTTTGAGGGCGACCGATATATTTTTTAACAGAAAGAAAAGCTCCGACTCCTAATTTTGAATTATCGCTAGAAATAAACAGAACGAACGCTGGTAGTTTTGAAAACAAAAGAAGATGGTAAACACATTTGAAATATTTAGCAGAATAGAAGTTTTATGTCTGGGCGGCTGTGGCATTAGTCTAAATTATGCTGAGACGCCTACTGCGTTAGGAAAACATCTTGGAAAGTTATAGGAATAGAAAATAAGAGGAAACATTGGAACAACGGGAAACTTTTATAAACAATGTTACGAGAAAGTTTTTTTTTTCGAGTCGAATCGACTTTGTTCGACTTTTTGACGGAATATTATACGAAAGTTTACGGTGTAGAGCCAAGTTATAAGTATATAAATATGTCATGGAATACAGCAGTTGAGCAGAAGCAATTATAATCCCAATAAAAGTGATGGGTATCAAAAATGAATTAAAAGTTTTGAAACAAACAGGTTTCACGAACAATACATCATTATATATGTTCAGAAAAGCATTTAATTGTAGATAACTTTCTACTCTATATCTAAAAAGGCACTGATAGTATTAAAATAATAATTTTTAATGTTATACTCTAGAAAAGTGTGAAATTTTTTCGTATAATATCATGAGAAAATTTTGCCGGCAATATTTTCGACTTTTCGAAAAGAAACCTGAAGTAAAACGTCCTAGGTATCGGTCACGACCTGGTAAGACAGTATCTAACCAATATTTCATTCATAACTGTTGACTACCAAGGCACTGTCAAGGAAACGGGTCCAGAATGCCACGATATGAAAATCGAAATAATGAATCAAATATGCTGAAAAACTTATACTTTCCACTCATTTTTTTTTGTAAAAAATTGTTTCGAGATATCTCGTGGTCTGGCGTCCCGATCAGAATAGGTGCCCTAGCTTTCCCAAAAGTAACCACATCTATCGCAAACTATAAACGTAATATGTACATTTACAACTTAGGCTTCCATGAGCTATCATCTGGCTTAGATTACATGTATGGATAGGATGAAATAGCAGCTTCGAGGGTATCTCAGGAAATCAGTGCCTGTGTCACAAAACACATAGAATTACGTGTAGCAAATTCAAAATATGTTGTATTGTACAGTGACAGCTGCACCCGCCAAAATAGAAACATTGGTCTTGTTACAGTTAGTTCAAACTGAAAATAATAGTATCGAAATAGTTAATCACAAGTTTATGATAAGCGGACACTCTTACTTATCACGCGACTCAGACTTTGGTTCAATTGAAACTCACTCTAAAGGTAAACAGATTTATGTGTCTGAAGATTGGTTTTTAGTCACAGTTCGGTGTAGGAAGAAAAAGCTTTTATTTTCACAAAAATCGTTAGAGAAAAGTTTAAAAAATCTGACACAACTCACTAAATCAATTACAAAAAGAAAAACCAATACGGATAACCAATCAGTATCGAGGTTAAAAATGCAGAGAATTAGAGTCAAAAAAGATAAGCCATTTTCACTGTTCTATAAAGAAACACTAAATGAAGATTTTTACTTTTCACAAATTAATATCCTGCAAAGCAAGCAGAAGAGAAGACCAACATTGTTAAATAATCTTCAACTGGATTGCCTGTACATAAGACCTCGACCAGTCATGTCAGGCAAAAAACGGAATATGTGTGATTTACTACCATACATTCCTACAGCCCATCATTCTTATTTTAGAAATCTTATATCATCTGATAAAGTCAATGACGAAGCTGGACCACTTCCTGCCTAGAAGAAAATAATGACTAATAAACTACTGAATTTATTTTTGATTTTCTAATGTAAAAACAATAAACATATTTTGCTGTCTGTACATTCTCTTTAAACTCTTAAAGAAAAAGTTGGGTAAGTCATTTCACCCCTTAAAAACTACCCTTAACATAGCTTTATTTGTACAAAAATGTTATAGTTTATTTTTATGAATGAGAGAGTAATTAGCATAATTTTAACTGGTACCTTCGACCACTCCATGGGCGTGCTCAAGATTAATTGAAAAATTACCTTGAATAATTGTAAAAA